GAAGAAGATGATGATGATGATGGTTAATACGGAGATGCTGATGGTGGTGTTGAGGATGGTGATGATAGTGATGGTGGTGGTGATGATGAAGGTGTGGATGAATGTGATGATGACTATGGTGATGATAATGATGAAGATGATTGTGCTATAGTGGTGGTGATGATGGTGATAACGGTATGGTATGGTGGATGAACAGGATGACCATGGTAGTAACGATGATGGCGACACTAGCTAATATTTACTGAACTCATGCTCTTACCATGTAACCACAACCTCAGGAGGTATGTCCTGTTATTGCCCTCACTTTGCAGATAATGTGAGTGGGATGCTGAGGACTCATCACTGGAGTTCACATGGCCGTGGGTGGAACCCCGGCCTCAGTTCTGGTCTTAAGAATGATTTCTCTGACCTCCCTTGCCTAGCATCCCTCATGGGCTCTATCTGGGGTTTTCAGAAGCCCTGGGGTTGCATCTTCATCTGCAGAGAGGGAAACAACCATTCAGAAGAGTAAGACAGCGTGTGACAAGTAGACACATGGACACCTTCATCAGAGGGAGCTGAATTCCTGAGCCTGTGCCCACTGGCTGCCTAGACCACAAAGCACCAGAGATGTTCTCAGAGCCAGGCTGGCAGTGGGAAGAATCTGGCCTTCAAATAGTTACCAAGCTTGTCATCAGAATAGGAAGGGGACAGATTCTCTCCAGGTGGGCAAGGGACCCTTAGGACCACAGCATTAGAAGTGAATCAGGGCACACAATGCTCATGGTGTGAAACATCCCAACAGGGTGCCCCGTGAAGAGGATGGAGGTCAATGCAGAGTCCAGGGTAGTGGCTTCCTTGAGAACATGGGAGCAGAGTCTAGGCCACAGGTCAGGGCTTGGGTGACAGCAGGAGGAGTAGTTAAAGCAGGGAATGGACTTAGGAGCTATAGGGACAGACTGTGAAGGTGGCCGAGCCGCGGATGTACACGATCTCTAAAGCTTTTGCTGATGTGATCTGGTTGTGGACCCTCAAGAGGAACAGCTGTAGGCCAAAGGCAGAAGATTTTGTCATCAAAAACTGGCTGGAGTTGGGTGAGGGGGTCAAGTGGCCGGGTGCCTCTGCCTGGGTCCTCAGCTCTCTCTGTCCTCCTGGGCTGCTGGGGAGGCAAGGCCAAAAGGGATACACGTAGATCCAGACAGGATCTAGTGCTGGGGTCTGAAACCCTTTGTGGTTGCTGGTGATTTTAAAATCTGAGCCGCTTGGGCTGGAGAGATGGCTCAGTGGTTAAGAGCACTGGCTGCTCTTTCAGAGGTCCTGAGTTCAATTCCCAGCAACCATATGGTGGTTCACAGCCATCCATAATGAGATCAGGTGCCCTCTTCTGGCTTGCAGGCAGACTTACAAACAGAACACTGTATGCATAATAAATAAATCTTTAAAAAAAAAAATCTGAGCCACCAAGAATAGCAAACTTTTCCCTGTTCACAAAGGGAGTCAGTTCCCTTTCCAGCTCCTCAGATTCCAAATCCTGGCTGGTTTTAGCTGTAACAGCATCCATCTTTCCTGCACAGAGACAACAACACAGAGCCTCTTCTCCCTCACCGTGGCTGGGAACCATAGTTTGCCTCAGTGAGCATCCCACAAGACAGGGCACCTCTTCCAACCTCTTACACCTGGCCATCTTTGATAGAAATTATTTGAGATATTTCCTATTTTTCCTCCCGCCTCACAGACTTCTGGAGCATTGAATACTCTTCAGAAGAGGAAGCAGGGTGGCCCTCAGGGACCTTCATCACCCGGGTGGTATCTCCCAATTTTAGTTATCCATGGGGGGTGTCCCTTTGGTACCAGTACTAGAACCACCCCCCACCCCCCCGTGGGGTGGAATCCGGAGGGTTTCTGGTTGGGCCCCACCCACTGTGGTCTGTTGGCTGTAATATCAGTCAAGCAACCTTCCTCCTCTCCGTCCATCCTTCTCTTCCTCCCACACTCCTTCCCTCCTTGTTGAGGCCCCTCCAGGCAAATGCACTGTGCATTCCTGCCTGTCTCCACAGTCCTCCAGCCTAGCAGGCTTCATGACTGCACTTCTATTTGAGGGTTGAACAGCCTTGGTGCCTCCCAGTCACACCCCCCCCCCCCCCATCTGGTGAGGTTGGACTTCAAGCTGTATTGCTCTTGGGAGCTTCACACAGCACCAGTGGGCTCTCCAGAGGCCAGGAGTTGAAGGGCCAGATGTGAGCAGGCTTGGCTACCTTGGGAAGTGAGGAAGGGTGTGTTCCATGCCCTCAGAAAGGCTCTGGTCTCCTATGGTTTGTGAGTGCATGGCTTAGTCCGGTCCTCACAGGTGTTCTAACCGTGGGTCTGTGGTGGTTTGAATGAAAATGAATCCCATAGTCCCAGAGGGATTGGCACTATTAGGAGGTGCGGCCTTGTTGGAAGAAGTGTGTCACTGGGGGTGGGCTTTGAGGTTTCAGATGCTCAACCCAGTCCCAGTGCCTCTCTCTTCCTGCAGCCTGCCTGCCAATCCAGATGTAGAACTCTGCTCATTCTCCAGCACCATGTCTGCCTGCAGGCTGCCATGCTTTCCACCATGATAAAAATGGACTAAGCCTCTGAACCTGTAAGCCAGACTCCATTAAATGCTTTCCTTTATAAGAGTTGCCGTGGTGTCTCTTCATAGCAATACAACCCTAAGACAGGTCTCCATCTTCTCTCCCCATCAGTGCCCATTTGTCCCAATTTCCCTCCTTATAAGGACATCAGTCATTTGGGATTAGGGCCACCCTAGGGACCTTGCATTAGTCAGGGTTCTCTAGAGGAACAAAACTGATAGAATGAGTGTGAGTTGTAGAAGGACTTTATTGGAAGCAAGTCTGAGCTGTTGGAGGTTGGGACTTGAACCTCTTTTTCAGGGGTAGGGTACAATTTAACCCATAGTGCAAGGTGGGGCACAGTGAGAGCTGCAGAGAGACATGGTGCAGACTCCTGGCCTTAGATGGAGAGTGGAGGCAGTCATCCTGAGATAGGGATGCTTTCCTGGACCTGGCTACCTTCTTCCTTTAGAGACAACCCAGGGCCCGGGAATTCCTGATGTTCCTAACTAGCAGCCAAGGACTGAGCCTAGCAGCTAGCCTAAGGACCTAAAGATCTTCTTACACCCCACACCTGAGTGTTTGAACTAAGCTCCTCCCTCCCTCCCTTTCCTTTATTCTTTCCCTTTCATAGCTTTCCTGAATACCTATGCTGGGCAGGATCAGAGCCACTGAAACACCAGTCATGTCTCATTTGGGAGTCTCACATCTCCAGATGTCCACACGGGGTCTCCCTGAGCCTGATGGGTTTTACCCAGCTCCTGTCCAGGAAGGAACCAATTTTGTGGATGCTGGGCTTCCAGGGCACAGCACATCTGGCACACAGTGTTCATTAGTATTTTTCTATCTTATTATTTCGAGACAGGGTTTCTCTGTGTAGCTCTGGCTGTCCTGGAACTCACTCTGTAGACCAGGCTGGCCTTGAACTCAGAGATCTTGCCTCTGCCTCCCAAGTGCTGAGATTAAAGGTGTGCCTGGCTCATTTTCCTAAGCATCTTAAGTAAGAAACACAGGTTGTTATTCACTCATTCACTTTTCTTTTTTTTTTTTTTTTTTTTGGTTTTTGGAGACAGGGTTTCTCTGTGTAGCTTTGCGCCTTTCCTGGAACTCACTTGGCAGTCCAGGCTGGCCTCGAACTCACAGAGATCCACCTGCCTCTGCCTCCCGAGTGCTGGGATTAAAGGCGTGAGCCACCACCGCCCGGCCTCATTCACTTTTCTAAAGGAAAATCCAAAGTATTCTTGGGATATCAGGACTCACTCAGATCTATTTCTGGACCCTTGTCTGTCAATATAACCTCCACAGTCTGCTGCCTGTTTATGAGCCTCTCCTAACCCCAAGAGTAAACCAGAAGGCAGATGGGTTGGGAGCAGGCAGCTTCCCACAGCACATTGTGGAGCCTAAGTTGAGTCTTTGGTGTGATTTTGTGGTGACCCTAAGGCTGTTAGCTGCTGTGTGGTTTCATGATCACAAAGAGATCTGAAGCTCCAGGAAGAAAGCAGCTGTAGCTACAGTTGTCCAACTCCATGAGGGTGGGAAAAAAGGTAGGGAGATGTGGGCCAGCCTTTTCCATTTTACCAACATAGCTGCCATAATCTCAATCTGTCAGGCAGATCCCCATGTAAGTACCCAAGGGATCTGAAGAACTTGGCAAATAAAGTCACTGGAGTCAATACTGAGCCCCTCTGGACTCAGCCTTCTCAAAAGTCTTGGAAGAAGTGGGTGGGAATATTTTGTTAATGTTTTGTGAATCTCATACTTTGCCTTTCATGAAATTGTAGTTTGTGGAACAACCAGTGAAATTCAGGGAGTTTTAGCCTCTAAAACACAAGTTTAGAGTGAGCTCACTCTGCTGGAGTCAGCATACACTGGGTTCCTTCCCATAAATGCTGGGTTTCCAGCCAGAGAATGTGTACACCAACATCGTGACCACTGTGGCTGCTCAGTGTCAACCTCGTCTTGAATGCAGTGGGAATCTATGGGTGTGGGTCTGTGTTCCAATGCATGGTCCACCTTCAGTAAAGCAATAAGGCCACCAGGGCTTAAGGCCACCATCAAGGCTGAGTTAAGAATGGCGGAACTGTTCTGAAAGTAGAGTGCATTCTTTTAGCACAGGGAGGACAAGAGATGGCTTTTCTGCATAAGGTCACCAATCACTCCACCCTAAACCTTGCCACCAATAGCCTGCAAGATCAGGTGACAGAGTGATGGACCAGCTTCTTTCTGCATACCAGTCGGGGCGGGGGCAGTGACAGGTTCCTCTTGGCTCCATTTAGCTCCTACCACATAGGAAACATCCTCAAAGGGCACTTCCCAAAGGCTGTGTCAAATCTCCAAACTGAAAAACCCTTTCCCCATGAATCCTAACACTCTACACCAAGGTGCCATTCTCCTCAGAAAGAAAGAAAAACTCAGAAAGGCAACAGCTGGTTTTGAACCTTTAATAAAAGTAAAAAAAGAATGCAAAAAGAACACAATGCTGCAAAGTTAGCATGGACGTGAACCTCGCTGGGTGTTCAGATCGGGGACAATGAATGTGGTTGGTACTAATTACCATTTTTACAAATTCGATCACTTTGGTTCAATGTACCTGCTATAAGCTATTGGCAAAAATATCCTTCGGATTCACATTTTTTGGCTACATTATTTCTACTAGATTTATTTCCAGTTTAAGAGAAAAAAATACTCATCATATATGATCAAGTACATCGCCAAGTTCACTTGCTCTTCTTCTAGTCACTTGTGGTTTTCGTAAGACACTTAAGTCTTAGCTGAAGAATGCCTTCGAAGGACCAACCATTCGTTTTTATTCCCAGGAAATTTTAAGGGTTGCTCCAAAGTCCAGAACAACCCATTTTCTCCTAACCAAAGTAGTTTCAGAAAACCAGTTTACTCCAGACATTTTCCTCAAAACAAAATAAGCAAAACCCCAATGAGCATCACCACGTGAGTGAACCCAAACCCAGATGTCCACACAGGCACCAAGCTCCTGTCCTGCCTAGGGCCCAACTTCTGCTTCATCGAGTCAGTTCTATAGAATTTAAAACAAACCAAAAACACTTACATTGCAGAATACAAAAAAAAAAAAAAAAGTAAATTTGTTAAGTACAAATTACTAAACTCACAGAACTGGAGTATGTCAGAGGACTAGGGTGCAGTGGAGGGTGTGACTGAGGGAGCGTCACAGCTGACAGAAGTATTGCTGAGCTCGCCTCCACGCAGCTCTGAAATGACCCGAGAACCCTTCTCTGGAACAGCTCACGCGGTTAAAAAAAAATAAAATAAAATAAATATTTAAGAGAATACAAGGCTCAGATTGGTTTTCATACACATTGCACTTGAAGTCGAAGACCCAATACTTGCAAATTAGGTCCCACGTGGTCTATGCCATTCAATGCATACAGGACACCGTGTGTTTAACGCAGTGACGTGCGCACTCAACCTTTTACAAGGCAATCACAGATTGCAAGCTCCATAGGGCTGTGGAAAAGTCCTCTCCACTCTGGAGTGACAGAAACAATTTCGGCTCATTATGACTGAAACAGCACAGACAGCGACCCACTCTTAGATAGTCCAGCTCGTGGACAAAACTTCATTTAAATTGAGGTGAGAAGTCCAGCATCACGGTGCAGAATCATGACTTTGCGCTGCCCTTGGCTCTCAGTAAGATTGTCTACAAACCCCTGGCAGGGAAAAGCATGGTTCCCACACTGGTGAGGCCCACATGTGAGCACCTGCCTGAGCACGCCCTGGAGATGTGGCTGCACTGGGACCTACTGGGAGCATGACCTTCCTCCACCTCACTGCTGCTCTTCTCTCCCACCCCTTACACAACCCTCTATTTTAATTCTGGATAAATATTCTTATTACACATACTTCATGTCTGTTAAGCACCATCAACCTCTCCCCTTTGGGCACTGACACAAAACTGCAGGTTGGTAATTCATTGATTCAAGGCTTTGAAATATGGCAACTTGCTTTGAATGATGAATGAAATCTAATACTCAGGAAACTGGCCCCCTGCCCCACTCTCACATACAGCCTGGGATGGAATGTTCCAGTGCAGACAGGTGTGAGGGTGGGTGAGCAAGACTTTTAGGTCAGTAGTCCTTGCCTCTGTTTGCTAGTCTAGACCATGTGAACACTTCTTCAGGAGTCATTTATCATCGTCAGCCCAGTCTAAATGGGACATTGAGGAAAAAGAGTCTTCATCACACCCAGGACCAGTGTCTCTGCATCCTGCTTCCGCTCTGAACCATGCCCTGAAGTTCAGTCACTGTGAGGCTTTTCTGGAACGCCCTGTACGGAAAAGAAAAAGAGAAGTCAGTGCTTGAATGCTTTAATTGTTGGGGTCTATACAATTCCCTTGGCCTGGGGATGTCGTCAGGCTCAGGATGAATGAGCTCCACCACTGCCCTTCAGGCTGCCAAGGCTACAAACCTAGCTCTTCACCTATGAAGTTACAACAATCCAAACCTCAGAGAAAGCGGTGCTGCTAACCCCTTTCTATGGAGCCTGTCATGCAGACAGACAATGACAAATGTGTGACGAAGCCACCAGCCACAGCAAACACTATCAAAGCACCACCACCCACACCGAGGTAGCACAGGTGCACCCGAGAGCTGGCTCGGTGCAGTTAGGGCCCTATTTTAAATCAGATTTACTGTGGAAAAGGTAGGTGGCTTCTGCTGGAGCCTTTGTCAGACCTGAGGCCTCTGCTACACCTGCCCTGGCAGCAGTTCAAGCCTGGGAATCACCACCATGGCCAGGCCTCCAGGACTGACCATGTGCAGGATAGTGTCTCACTGGTAGAGCTGATTGGACAGAGCAACCACAGCTGCCAATGCAGGAGAGATAAACCTCAATTCACACATCCTCTGGGAGTCCAGAGGCCTCCTGCTCTGTTCAGTTCTCCCACATTCAGCAGTCATACTTAATAAAGATTCTGGGAACCATGAGTGATAGACAGAAATGGGGGTCCGAGTAAAGCCACCCCGAGAGTGTGGCATGCTTTCCAGAAAACGTGCTTCCCTCAAAGCCGACATACGGAGGCTTTAAGCAAACTGAAAGTAGTTCAGTGTTTCTTCCTTTTTTCTTCCCCCGTTTTTTGAGTATAGTCCAGGCTGGTCTGGAACTCACAAAGATCTGCATGTTTCTGCCTCCCAAATGCTGGAATTAAAGGTGTGTACCACCTTGAGCAGCCTTGGTGCGGCGGGGAGGGGCTTGGACCTGCCTTGGCTCTGTGTGCCAGGCTCTGCCGACTCCCCATGGGAGACCTTGATTTGGAGGATGTGGGGATCGGGGGTGGCTTGGGATGGAGGGCTGGGGGGTGGGAGGAGGGAGGAGGGAGGAGGTGGGTTCTGTGGATCTATGGGTGGTATGTAGGGTGAGTAGAAAATTTCTTAATTAAAAAAAAAGGGTGTGCACCACACCTGGCCCAGGTCAGACTCTCGACAAGTCAGTTAAAAAGAAAAGTTAAGCCACCAAATTATACTATCTATTTACTGATTCCAAAGACAAAACACAATTTTAGAAGGTACCGTCTTCAGGAGACTAAAACTAAGCCTGAATTAGTGTAAGAGGCAAAAGACCCAAGACGCTACCAATGGGCAGAGACTCACTGGAACGAACATAGGCACCTGGCTGCCCCAGTAGGTGTATCTAAATGGCAAGACTGCACCTGGGACCTTGGTTTGTTTACACCAGTTTTTATATCCATTTGCAGAATGAATGAAAGGTACATGCTATATGTTAAAGGGCCATATAGTATATTAATGAGTAGCATGGCTCAAATTGCACACACTTGGGCAAACATCAAGTTCCATATTTAAAACACATTAATTATAGCTTCTACTTCACAGCTTGAGGGCTCCATTAGTAACAATGGACATGGACAGCAGATGCGTCTTCAGTGACTCGTGTCAGGAGACAACAGGAAAGACAAACTGAATCCAACAGCAGGGAGCAAGCTCCACAGTTAGTGTCCCCATGGGTGAGGTGACAAGAAGCTGCCATACACTTGGATGCTGTTTGCAATCGGAAATTTTACCTTTTTTGGGAAACATTTTTAAATGCACACAGCAAACCCTGCAGGTTCTATGAATGATGGCTGATGACAGGGCTCTGTACTCAGACACACAGGACAAAGGGCACTACCACACATAGAAACTGTAATGCCATCAGCTGAGCTCCTGGGGATGGGCACCTTCTTAGTAACCAGGGTCTCATGCTCAGGAACTGGAGGCAAGAAGAGAGGCCTGACAAACAGCAGGAGAACGGCAGGGGTGCCTAGAAAGAGTTCAAAGCTGGCCGCCGGGCTCAACTCCTCTAGGATCATCACCTCTAGGTGTATAGACTGCCAACATGCTTCAAATGTCCACTCCTTCCCAGGCATGCTAATTTCCTAAAAGAAGGAGAGCCTTGGCCTCCACACATTACCCCGAGCCCAGATGTTACAACTCCAAACATCTTTCAGACTGAAACTAGTCAAGCTGCTTGAGGTCAACTTAGTTCAAAAGTCCAAGGGATTCTCTGCCAGACTGAGAACAAATCTCAAAACATGAGGTACTAGGAGGCCTTTCCTCCCACTGATAACCACCTGGGCATGATCGTGGGAGGCAGAAGTGTCGCCATGTTTTCATGTGATATGAATCTGTTTTTTTTTTTTTTTTTGGCGGGGGGGGGGGGGGGGTTAGTTTTTATGTTTTAAGACAAGGTCTCTATATGTAGCCCATGCCTCAACTCAAGACCCACCTGCTTCAGACTCCTAGGTGCTTGGACTGCAGGTGTATCCTACCATGCCTGGCTTCTGACAAGATTTTTTAATGTTGAGGAAAGCTTTCTAACTCTCCATCAGGGACAAGAGAGTTTCTGACTGGCTGTGATTTGTAGAGGGTTACCAGGAACAGAAGACAAAGACACCTCTAGTTCTAGCCTTTAGAAATGACTTGTATTTTTGTGAGCTATCCAAGTGGTCTTCAAATGCAGCTTCTCATGAGTGGGTGTCAGATGACTGTTTAAAACTAGCATGAAATACTGAGATAAGCACTCAGAGAAAGCCCTACAGTTCATCTCTGTGCACAATGGCCCTTTCCTAGTCACCCTTCTAGAATGTTCACTTAAGCCCATGGGTCTAAGTCATCTTGAAATAACATGTCCACATTATCTTCAAAATTAAAGTGTTCTTGTGGCAATTGTTGCCTGATGAAGAGACCTGCTACAAGATTCTGAACTCAGCTGCCCAGCTGCCTCAGAAGTGACCCTGGATGTTAGGAGGTGGCACTGCTTTCTCTTCCAAGGAGTAGAGACCTAGTACTCTAACAAGACAGTCCCTTTACAGAGTGGTCAAGCCATGATCCAGAGCTTTCTGGATGATTTCCTCCCTGGGCCTAGATTCAGGTGCCTCTTGGTGGGGAGTACTTGCTGACCCAAGCTGTCCCCTGGTTTGTCCCTAGACAAGATGAACCCCAGCACTGTCTGCACACATGCTAGAGAGCAACTGACAATGTGGCTGCCGAGTGGTTCTATGAACTCAGAGAAACCACAAGACACAGCTGCAATACACACAGCCATCCTGAAATTCGGGTTGCTTTCCAGCATGAACAAGTGTTAAAAATCCACACATCGTAACTTAGGGAAGACCCAGCTATGGATCAATTTATAGTTAACATAGACTATTCTCACCAACTGCTGCTGAGGAATCCGAATGAGACACACATCAACACAAAATCTCTTGGTCAAACTGAGAAGTCTCAAGTGCTCAGGACACTCACCATAGCTAACTGTCGCCCTATGTTTCCCACTGTAACGCCTCCTGAGAAAAATATACACGGGAGCCAGGAGCGGATATAGAGGAAGTCTGGGGATGTGTACCTAGGAAGGAAACAAGACAGTTTTAGCCACGCAGGCAGCCTGGGGTACAGGATTCCCGTGATGTGGGTATAGGAGACACTTGTGAGCTACAGTTAACATCAAATGTCAGTGTCTAAAAGACATGTTTTATGGCCACCAGACTTTACTTTCACCAAGTTATGGATAGTGAGTTTTTAATATGAGCCAAGAAAAAGCATTTTGAGATTTCCATGTTATTTTGCATAAAAGTCAAATAACATACAAAACATCTACACTTAATAGGTAGGTGTTGTTACAAAAGCAAAGCAACATTTTAAAGCACACACTTACTGGTAGACACCGTTATACACAAGAAACTGAGTGATCAGCGTAGCTAGAAAGGCAATGGTGATCCCAAGCCCAAGGCCGCTTCGGGAGCGATCGAACGTCCACCACAGGCCCAAAGACAGGGCTGCTAAAGTCAAGGACAGCTGGACATTATTGGCAAAATCCAATTTCTAGAGATCCAAAAGTTAAGGAAAAGTTTCCTAATTTATCATATGAAAAAAAAAAAACTAAACCCCAGAATTACTCACAGGCCACATCATTATACAGTAACTTACTGCTTGTAATGATGGCACATGAACCAACCCGAGACCCCCGACTCCAAACATCCCCCCCCTCCCCGCATCCCCTGGGAGTACCACATCCAGAGTAATAATAGTAAACTTTCTGAAAGCTGTGAGCTTCTACTGGCATTTGGTCATAAGCAATGAAGTTTTGCTAAGACACTGTCTCTACCCTGCCCTCTTACTTTTCAGTGGAAACAGGCAGGCACTACCCCATGTCGTCTCTGTGCCACCCCAGGCAGAAGGGCAGAAGTAAATCTGTCAGTTTATTAATTCAGTGCCTGTCAATCAGCACTATCAGAACTAACTTGTGAATCATTTGAGTAAGGAAAGAGCCCCCTAAAGTTGGTGTACAATCTTTTACTCCAAGTTGCTCTAGAAACGTAGTATTTGAAGGGTTTGCCATCAAATCAACCATTTTCACAGAAAATGCATATTGCACAAAAACACAACATATTGCATGAAGGGAGTGTGTCAGCTTTGGACACTAGAAGGCCAGGGGCCACCTGACCAGCCTTGGACTGAGCAAGGCTCTCACTAATTCTCTATCACAGGAATAAGCATGTCAGTGGGGGAGAAGCTAAGAGGAATAAAGTCCACTGAGAGCCACAGTAACTGAGGGGCAGAGTATATTCACTTCCGGTGTTAGCTCAAGTGTCCTAAGATGAGTAAAAGGCCCCAGAAGCTGGACCCAGAATTCCTCTAAAGCACAGGGATGAGGCAATGAGCATCAATTCTTGGTCATAGTAACAATATACCCTGCCACACCCAGAGGACACCCTGGACACAGACACCAGCTGAGGATACGGCACTGGCATGGTTGATGCCAACAAACACGGCGATACAGCGCATGACGCTGGCCCACTCTCTCTTGAACTTGTGTGGTTCTCCCAGGTGACTGTCAATACAGGGGTACAGGAGGCCGACAACAGCTGTTTGAAGAAAAACAAAAACAGGATTAGAACACACTGGCTAAAATTAGTCCTTGTATGGCCATTATTAATAGGATCCAAAGCACTTCTTTTCCTAGGCAGCCCGTCACCTGTAGCACAAAGCACCTGTAGGAAAAGGCTGTGGCAAGGCTACCTCATATTGCTTTCTCTCGGCCCTGACCTGGACCCAGTGGGGCAAGTCTCATACTGTGGGAAGGGCAGGGACTCAGGAAGGGAGAGCGCTGCTGTCAGTCCCAGGCCGCTCGGGTGGCTGTGCCGCCTCCTGTTTGTTTCCTCATGTGTGAAATGAGGATTATGTAAGTAAAGTGGAGGGCAGAGAAGGAAGAGGTTTAGTTAGGAATCGTCACAGACACAGACTCAGACAACTAAACATTTGGACAGATAGCAGCAAGCTGGGCATTCCAGAAAGAGACCCAGAGAGTCAAAAACAGGAAGGAAGGGGTGTCTGCAGTACAAGAGGGAGAGCCCCCATGGAACACAAGGTACATGTGAGTTGCAGCTAAGTTCAAGACCTCAGGCTACCATTCCACCTTGTCTGGCATGAATAGTCATTCAGCCTTGTCAGTGATGAGAAAGATGCTGTTCAGCCACACGTTCAGATAAGGAGAGAAACCGTCCCAGGTATTCCTCAAAACTTCCATGACAAACTTTATGTTCCATATGTGCAAAAAACAGAATATCAACTCTACATCTTATTCCCCAAAGAACTATTAAGTGCTGGGGTAATAGCTCAGTGGCAAATGATTTGCCTAACATGTATGAGGCCACCCCCAGCCCCAAATAAACAAGAATGTTCAACCAGTAGAGCTCCAAAGTGGCAGAGTGCTTTGAAAGCAAAGATGACAACTTTCTCCCAGCGGCTACATCAGCCTTCCTGGAAGAGGCAGACAGCTGTCACAGGGCTGGACCCCAGAATGCTGCAGGTGAGCCCGAGAGCAGCCTTGGGAATCAACAGCAAGTACTCTGCATAGTACCTTTAACCCATGACTCAGCCACAGCCCAGCATAGAAGGCCAGCATATAAAGCACAGGCAGGCAGTCAATAAAAGCTGACTTCAAAGCAGGCAGGAGCTGCTCCTGCTGTCTGTCCTGTGGCCCCAGGCACAGGTGTACCTCACCACACTGGAGAAAAGGTGCACCAGAAATTATGCTGACCACCTACACAGGCCAAAGACAAGCAAGGCTAGGAGGAGGGTGGGATGGGCAGAAACACATGACAATGTCTTTCAAACACATGATGTGTATTGAGGGATATGCAGGGATCTATTGGGCTGTGACCATTCAACTTTTTTTTTTTTTTTTTAAATCAGCAAAATGAAAAAAAAAAAAAGACTGTCACATTGTCACAAATTTCGTTGGGCCTGAGAGGTGACGCCATATGGTGTGCTCAGGCCCAAGGGTTCCTCCTTTACTCCTGTCCCAAGTCTACTGGGCCACGGAGTTCCAGAGGGCTTGGCTGCTAGCCACAAAGCACTCACTATCAGCAGAAGGAAGTATGGAGAAGTCTGTCCCCTGGCAACAGACTCTTGAGCGCACGTGACGGTTTGTTTTCAGTTATTCAGCGGGGGTAGCACGTTTGCTCAGGCAGCCAATGGCCGCGTGGTGCTGCCCTCACCAGTTCTCCAGGCGGCCAATCCTGGCTTCGGGCTCTGCGAGACAGCTGCGACTCCTCCACTTAAACTGCCAATTATCTCCTGACCTCATCTCCATCACTAGTCCCTCCAACTTCCGCCTGTCGCTCGCCAGCGTCTGGGGCTCCCAACCCTCTCGTCCCCCCTTTCTTGTACTCAGGGTGACAACAGCTGACGTGTCCCTCCCCACCTCCCCACCGACTTCAAGAACAAGGAAGGGCACTCACCGGCTGCCGTGCCACAGCATGGGGGCACCCACCAGGCGGAGGAGAAGATGGTGGCGATCACCTCGTCGGGGAAGAGCGTGACATTCCGCTGGATTTGCAGCAGGTTGAGCACCAGGGCCAGGACCACACCGAACGAGAAGAGCACGAGGCTCCGCTGCACCAGGTCGTGGTGCCAGCTGCCGGGCCGCGCGCCGCATCCTGCCGTTCCCGCTCGCTGGCCCCGGGGCGCCGGCTCTGGGGCTCCGGGGCCCTGCGGACAGCGGGCTGCCGCAATCATGCCTCGCGGGAGGCTGTACGGCCTCGCAGCGCCAGCGCTTGGGCAGCTCCAGACGTGGTCGTGCAGCCTGGGCATCGGCGGCCAGGCGCACAGTGGGAGGAGCACGCCACGACACCACGGGTAGCGCGCCCGGACGGCCCAGGAGCGGCCGCGGCCCCGCGCGGGTGCCGCTTATAAGGCGGGCCGCCGGTGGCGTCACGTGGCGGCGCCCAGCCTATCCACCACCCGCGCGCCCCGCTGGGGGGCGTGTCTCCCAGCGGCTCCGCCCTGCCCGCGCGCCTGTCCGCTCGGGGTCTGGTGAGGCGGCGGGAGCCAATGGGAGGAGGGCGGCCCATATGACGTGCGCACACGCCACCGGGGGGGTGGGGCTGGTGCCCGGCACGCGCGCTTGGGGCGAGTGCGCGCCGCGCGGGCCGGCCCCGGGGCGGGCGGGCCGTGGGTCATAAGGTCCGGCGCTGCCCTGCCCTGCCCTGCCCTGCCCTGCCCTGCGTTGCGTTGCGCTGCCCGACCTCGGTTTCCGAAAGAATGCGCACACGCGGGGGTCCTCTCGTTCCCCAGGGGCCTGGCGCACATCCAGAGCGCACACCCATCTTAGTGCTCAAAAGACCCGGGGATCCCTAGGGCCGAGCGGTGGTGCCTCTTGGACCGCGTGTGACCTGTGGTCTGCGGGTTCACAACCCGGTTCAGAGCTGCCCTCCCCCAGCCAAGACCCCACCGGCTAAAGCCACGCGGCTGGTGAGCAGGCCTGAAAGGGCACCGTGTGACCTTAGGTAGGGCATGTGGCTCCGCGGCAAGAGAGTAAAAGTCACCCTCCTCAGCCGGCTGTTTCTCGGAGTTCACGGGGGAGGTCAGTTTCCCAGCATGACACAGCACGGGTGTGGGTGGCCCGGCTGCCTTCCTTGCCTTTCCCTCACAACCCGTCCCCTCTCCCTCTTAAGCCAGGTTGGCGGTTCTATGCGTTGTTCAGAAGCAGTTTTGAATGCTTGGGTCTTGGCTGTTTTCCACACTCTGGCCCGTGCAAGCTTGTGAAGGTCGCGCGGGCGCACACAAACGGGGGTGCGGTGAGGGGGGGGGGGCGCGCATCAGTACTGTATGTTGTGTTGCAGCAACGTGGGAGCCCTTTCCACAGCAAAAAGCAGGAGGGGCTGCCTAGCTTCAGCTAATAGGAAGTTGTTAATGACAGTGAGTCTCTACCGTGGGATGTGGCAGGTGCAGCCTCTGGTACCACCCATCAGCTGCAGGTCCTCTAGATGTTGAGAAAGCTGCACCTGTGTAAACACACACAACTTTGCCCCTAAGGAACAGACACATCACTCACTCACAGGAAACTTGGCCCTATGGAGCAGACTTGTCAGTCACTTTCAGGAAGCTGGCATGATGGGACAGGCTGCAGCTCAGACCCTTCACCCACACGCCAGCACCATGCGTCTGTCTTTTGAGTCTGGAGATGTATTCCAGTCCCTTTGTCTCTGGCCATTTTGATTGTCCTTACAGACTCCCTAAGGATTCTGTTGTTATAGTCCTTATGGGCAGGCCTGGAGCTTCTAATATTTTGTGGATTTCTGTGTCACTTGCCTCTGGTGTGGAAAGGGGCTAGTGATGTCTTCAGACAGTTGCTCTGTTACCAACTATTCACTTGGTTGCTTCTTCTGCTTACTCAAGCCAGTCCTCACAAAGCCTAACTCCTGCGGCCACTTGGCCATCTCATCTCCACTGGGACAAAGCAAACTGTGGTCCTAAACCATGATATCTGCTGTGGTACACAGACCAAGGTGCCCTGCAGACCATGAAGGATACCCATCCTGTGCTCTGTTTCCTTGGGGTCCCATGGGGGCTGCCACAGGCTCTAATGGACTCATGAACAATTTGCCCTCATATCCAGTGAATGAAACTTCCATAGGGTGATGGTAGAGATAAGTTTGAACTAAGACTCTTGGAGATGCACCCTGACTACCAAAAGTGATATCCAACTATTCTAAGGCCTGCTAGTTTCTCTATGCATACTGGAAATGGAAGATCAGGAGCCCCTTCTCTGGCCCTGAGGATGAGTGGTGTTGCTAGGGAGATGACTTTGAAACAGAGCTCCTGGGTGCTTCACTGTACCACTTCATGTTAATCATTACAGACTCGCTGATTGCAGGTGCTTCCAGCTACTGAGAACCCACCTGGAGACCATGCACGGTGAGTCAGCCACTGCCTTTATCTATATCCCTGCACTCTTTGTGGGATAATATCAATAATCACTCTGACTTGTGTGGTGATTGTTAGTTTTTCGGCTGCGTTGTGTGCTTACCCTGCAAGGAAATGCCACGAAACACGACAGAATCCGCTAACAAGAGTTTTATTAAAGGGACAGAGAGTGAACAGGCCTGTGGGAAACACGTGTGTGGAGAAGAAGAAGGAAGAGGAAGAAGAAGGAACTGGGAACATGGCGCCGGATTTTAAAGGCTGGGCGTGGACAGATCAGCGTCACTACTACACGCAAGCGCGTAGATCACATGGCCACGTTGGCGCCTACGTAGCCAATGGAACGTCACGGATCTTGGTCACAGCGAGATGCCCTGACCCGGAAATGGCTATCCTGACCTGGAACTGGCTAGGTAGAAGTGTCTGTTGGGCATATGCGAACACGCCTGACCGTGGGGGCGTGTTGTAAACCTTTCAGTGATATATTGTGGACCCTAATAAACTTGCCTGGGAATCAGAAGACAGAGCCAGCCATTAGATTAGACATAGAGGTAAGGCGGTGGTGGCACACACCTTTAATCCTATCACCCGGGAGGCAGAGATCACTCTGGGTCTCTGTGAGTTCCAGGCCACATTGGCCAACATGAGATTGATCCAGCATAGGAGAGAAACAGAGCCAGGCAGTGGTGGCACACACCTTTAATCCCAGCACTTGAGATCTCATGCCTTTGCTTGGGAAGCACACACACCTTTAATCCCAGAAAGTAATATGGCAGGGGAAAGAAAGGTATATAAAGTGTAAGGAAACAGGAACTCACTCTCTTTAGACTGAGGATTTCATAGAGGTAAGAACTAGTGGCTGGCTGTTCTGTTCTCTCATCTTTCAGCTTCACCCTGATATCTGGCTCTGTTTTTTTTTTTTATTTTTTTATTAAAAGACCATCTAAGATTCGAACAACAGGCTTGTATTATTAAAATGGAGTAGATAAGGAGATATATCAGTTATTTTAATGCAAGCTTATCCCATGTTCACTGTAGACATTCAGCAAATATAATCATATCTGGAGCCAAGGTAACGACCCAGCCAGTCAAATGCTTGCTGTACAGGAATATGAGCCAGAGTCTAATCCCCAGAACCCACATAAAGGGCCACATGTGCAGCAGCACATGTCTGTAGCCCCGGTACTAGGGAGACAGAGAGGACCCTTGGACCTGGGTGTCTGGATAGACTAGCCAAAAAGTGAGCTCTGAGTTCAGAGAGACCTTGTCTCAAAAAAAGGGAAGAGCAATTGAAGAAGACTCCTGATATCCACCTCTGGTCTCCACACACATCAACTTTCATCCCACCACCGAGCAAAAGCTGCTGGTAAGATTTCAGAGTATGTATTTCCAGGTATTTTTTTCCTATGTGGAAGTGTATGTGGCTTTTTTTTTCAGTTTTTATTTTTTTAAAGATTTATTATTTTTAATGTGTGTGTGTGTGTGTGTGTGAATGTGTGTATGTGCATCACATGTGTACAGGTGCTCACAGAGGCCAGAAGAGGGCATAGAATCCCCTGGAACTGGACTTACAGATGGTTGTGAGCCACCATGTGGGTACTGAGAACCAAACCTGGGTCCTCTGAGAGAACAGCAAGTGTTCCTAACCACTGAGCCATCTCTCCAGCTCCCCTTTCCATTTCTAAACATTTATGTATTTGTGTGTGTGTGTGTGTGTGTGTGTGTGTGTGTGTGGAGGTTAGAGGACAACTTGTAGAAGTTGCTTCCCTCCTTTCATGGGGGTCCCAGGGATTGAATGTAGGCCTTAACCACTGAGCCATCTTGCCAGCCCCCATGCTGCTTCCTGGAGTCATTCACACACAGTAGAACCTGTTATCAAGTGACCGTGAATGTGAACGTCTTCAGAGCACGGCATTGATGCCATGGTTGTAACCTCACTTACATAATGTACAGCTTCCTCATTCGAGGCCCCCACTGAGTTCACATATTCAGGAGGTGCACAGCCTTCCCCAAGGTCACTGCTACCCCTTCACCCTTCCCTAGCCCCAGGCCACCACGAAGCTGCTGTCTGCCTCTGTGGGCTTCCTGTTCTGAACATTCTTGTAGACAGAATCGTTTACAGCATGTTTTTTCACTGTTTATCCATGTTGTAGCACAGTAATGCTTTGTTCCTTTTTATGGCTGACTAATATTCCATTGTGCAGGTACACTGCATTTGGTCTGTCCTTTCACTGGCTGAACATCTGAGTTGTGTCTGCTTTTTGACAATTGTGAATAATGCTGCAGAAAAGACATGTGCATAGCTCTGGGTGTGCATTTCCGTTTCTCTTGGGGGAAATACCAAGATTGGAATGACAAGGTCTTACAGGAAACTCTGCTTCCCAAGGCAGCCACCATTCTGCAGTCCCATTCTGAGGGGCCAGCCTAGGTAGGATCCCAGGGGAGGGACTGGGCAGCTAGGAGGGAAGGTGACAGTGATGTCACAAACTAGGTACCTCTCTTGAAGGGTTTGGTTGTGAAGAGGTGGGGTTAGGTATGGAGCTGGAGGGAAGAGAGTAAGTTCAGTAGCTGTGGGACTAAGTCTGCTGGGGACAGACAAGGGACAGGGGGCAAGTCTTCCCTCAGGGGAGTCAGTGGTTTTGATTGGGGCTGGGGTGGGAGGCTCTCTTGTGTAGCTTTGTCCTGGAATAGGAAACTCTGCCCTGTGTGTGTTGGTGGCAGGCTCAGAAAGCCCGAGACGCTTAGGAATTCGTGAGAGCCCTCACTGAGATTATCTAAGCTATAAGCAATTGCTGGGGAGAGGAGGTAGAGATGTCTGCAAGCCATGCGGGGAGCTCCAGGGGAGTCCTCAGTCATGCTGGAGGAGGCTGTAAAAGACAACAACAACACGTTCTTCACTTATATATTTGTGTGTGTGCATTCCACAGTGCACGCGTGGAAGTCAGAAGACAACTTTTGGGAGTGGTTTCTCTCCGTCTGCAATGTGGGTCCCAGGAATTGAACTCAAATGATCGGTCTTGGTGGCAGGCAAGCACCCTTGCCCACTGAGCCATCTTTCCAGCCTGCAGTGAGCCCTTTGGTGACAGCCTTGTGTCCCCCACACCCCTGTAATTAACCCCAGTTCTGTAATCAAGACGCGGCGGAACGGTTTCTTTGGTCTGTAGTCACCACCCTACCTGGGATGAATGGACATTATTCACGTCTCCCCGGAAAAGCCACTGCGCAGGCAGGAAGGGCTGATGATAGGTGAGGGCGGGTTGGGGGTTGGGAAGATGGGGAGCTGCTGTCTTGGGGTTGAAGGCTTGATGAGATTTGTCACAGCATTGTCACTGGCTTGCAAGGTGTGGTGACTGTGTGTGAATCTCTAGATCAGCAGAGGGACTTCTGGGGGTTTTGTTGGCAGAGAAAAGGCAGGACAGTAGGACCAGGGAGGCAGGCTTGGGGCCTGGCGATTGATGGGGTCATGCCCCAAACCCTGGGAGGTGGAAGGAGAAGCAGAGGGCAGTTCAGAAGAGGCCTCCAGACTGGGAAGACAGAGGAGCCCATGTGGAGTTAGATACAAGCCCCAGGCATGCAGGAATCTTTGCCCCCTTTTCCGATCTTACTTGCCTCTACCTTTGATTCTAGAACCGACCGGGCACCTGATCCTGTAGACCGAAAGTGCTGGGGTAGCAGAGCTGGGGCAGAAGAGGCTGGCTTTACAGGCAGCCTGGCTGAACCCAGCAGCAGAGGACACGGGGTTGTTTGACAGATCACTGCTTCCTTCCGGCGCTTTCTGCAAGGATTAGCTGGTGTAAGGCTTAAGGCAGGAGACTTATGGAAGGGCCTGTTTGGGGAACTTGGCTGTTGCCTCCCGATTTCTTGGAAGTCAGATAACAGCTTAGTTTCGTTTGGTGACATGGGACTTTAGCACAGGCGGGCGAGGCTGTGTTGCTTTGCCCTCTGGCAGCTGGGCCTGGTGCAGCAGCCCATGGTAAATAGTGAAGCTAACTGACACCTCCGGTCCTGGGTAGGCGACTGGTGAATAGCCCAGCCAGGTGGCGATAAGGGTTGAGGATGAGTGCTTTGTGGAGATGCTGCAGATATGGGCAAAGTCCAGAATGGCTTGATGACCAGGTGCTGGGCGCTGGTCAGCACGGCACCCAGGAGGGCAAGGCCTGGATGACTAAGGCTTGTGTAGGCCAACGTGGCTGACAAACGCTTACAATGGGTTTGGGAACGGAGGTGGGCAATATAGCAGGGAGGTAAATAGAGCCTGGGGATGGTAGGTGGGGTGCTGGGTAGGTAGTGTCCTCTAACCTGTGTCCTCTGTGGACCCTCAGAATATGCCATTGTTAGGAAACAGAGTCACTGCAGATGCAAAAAGTTGAGATGATGTTACCAGGAGCAGGACAGGCCCTGATCAATGTAAGGCTACCTGCATGGACTCCATACTCTCCCAACTCTGCCCGGAGGTGAATTTCTGTTGGGGTAGGGCTGGAGCAGCAAGGAAGATTGGAGAAAGGCCTGGGGTGGCAGCCCAGGCCGCAGACACACTGGCCGCCAAGGAAAGGCTGAGCTATCCTAACCTTCTCAGGTTCCCAGAGGAGCCCAGCTGGGAGGAGAGCGGTGAATGCAGGGCTCTCCCAGAGGGTTTGCCTTGGCTGCCCCCTGCCCCTTCCTTACCCCCAAGCACCTTTCCTCCCTCCCCATCCCTGCTCCCTCCTCTTCCCCCTCCCCAGCCCTGCTCCCTCCACATTTACTCTTCCTCTACCCCCCCCCCCCCCCCCCCCCCCCCCCCCCCGCTTACTTCTCCTTCTGTTCCTTCTCTCCACTCCCATCTCTCTTCCTCTTCCCTTTTCCCATCCCCCCTCCACTTCCTCTTCCCGTTCTCCCTCACACTCCTTTCCTTCCATGCCCATTGCTCAGTTAGGAACACAGAGGTAACCTGATGTCAGGTGTGAGTCCCCTGTGGCTCCTGTGACAAATGAGCCAATGCATAGCAGCTCACAGCAGTGTGATTTTATCATCTCGGGTCTAGCATGTGAAAGGGGCTGCGTACCCCTAGTAGGATTTGTTTCTGCCCTTCCTGACTCTGGAGACTGCCTGCTTCCCGTGGCTCAAGGCCTCTTCCTTCGGTCCCTCTTCCCTCTGGCTTTCCTCCTGCCGCCCTCTCACTTCCAAGGACTTTATATTTACATCAGAACTACCTAAAGAACCCAGCTCGCTCTCTCTCTCTCTCTCTCTCTCTCTCTCTCTCTCTCTCTCTCTCTCTCTCTCTGTGTGTGTGTGTGTGTGTGTGTGTGTGTGTGTGTGTGTGTGTGTGTGTGTTCTCAGCTGGGAATGCCCATTTTCAACATGAGGCATCAGGTGGAGCCTTTTGGAGGTGATGAGGTGGATCAGAAGACACCATCATTATCTCAAGGGCTTTGACAGCCACATCTAGAGTCCCTTTGCTACCCAGGCCACACTTCACAGGCTGAGTGTCAAGACCTAGCTCCAGATTCATGTCTGCCACATCAGACCTGAAGACAGCATTTCAGGGCATTGGCTCCTGTTGAAGCCCATGCCAAGAACTCTGGAAATCCGAAGGCAGGATGGTGTTCCAGGCCTGTCATCCCACTTCAGAGGCTGGAGAATGACAAGTTCTAGGTTGTCCTGGGCAGCTCAGTCTTAAGAAAAAAGAGATGGTGTATAGTCAGTGGTAGCAGAGCCCTGGCTTGGCATGCACAAGGCCCTGAGTTCAACCCTAACCACTTAAAAAAAGGGAGAGAGAGAGGGAAATGGAAGGTTCCTTCAGACACTTAGGAGGCTCGCCCACGTGTGGACAGAGGAGCCAGGGAAGCCAGGCTAGGCAGACAGTATCTCCTGCTGTATAGGACTCCAAGGTCTCCTGAGCAAGGAGATAGAGCTGGAGAAACAAGCCAGGATGAAGCCTGGCTGTCACACCAGGGAGCATGGCAGTATTATGGGCGTATTGTGTCCCCAAATCATCCTTGTTCATCCACTTCTATTGACGGTACTTTAGCTAGTGCTCTTCCTCGCTGTGGTCAGATGGTGTGCAGGTCACCACCATTAGCTCATCTCATAGGGATAAAGCAAGCATGGGTGCAGTTACAGTCATACCAAGCAGCCGGCTGCACTCCAGACACCCCATCCCCCTTCTTCCTCGTGGAGGTGACTGCACTCTCCTTCATAGGCTTCTCTATGTCTCTGTCTCCTTGAGCAAGCTAGCATGCACCCTAATCAATACCATGGGCTCAAGGTCCTGCTTAAGCTCCACATTGTTTAAGTACTTAGTATTGAGATTAACAGCAAACTTCCTGTTCCACAGTCACTTCCCGTGCCCTTGGGGAACCACAGTAGTTTTATGACTCTGTGGACTGT